TACCCCCTTTAATTTAAAAAAATACTCTTAATATAAAAAAATGCATAAATTACAACTCTTAATGTATAAAATACTGTTAATCTAAAAAAAAATACATTAAGGGTTGAAGTGATATTTTTTTACATTATCACTATGAAATAATACTTATCGAACATTCATGAAACTTCTCAGATTTAGTTAAAGTTAACTTTGTCTAGATGTGCAAAAAACTAATCATTTTTAGATTCCCTCTCTACAACGACCACCTAGTTGCTATATGCAAGTGTTATAAAAGGGTTTATGGCCCCTCACTCTTTTAACCGATTTCTATCAAACCTACTGTAGTACAAAGGTTATCTTACGATAGTCTACAAGGGAACCCCATTTCCGTTACTATCCTAATACCATAGGGACGGAAAGGAGCACTCAGACCAAGCAGACTAGACCAAGTCCTAGATGGTGGTGGGCTATTAGAATGGTCCATTAACAGAGTTTAAGGCATAAAATAATGAACAGTTTGAAGCAGTATTCAGTTGACAGTTGAGCAGTTGACAGTTGACAGTTGACAGTTGAGCTGTCATGCAATGATGTGTTTGTTAAAAAAAACACCCCGTCGGTTTCACAAGTACCGTGTCGAATCAAAAATAGCCATGAAAAGTAACAGATTTTTTGGATATGAAATCTTTTCTACAGCAGTTTAGCATATCCTGTAGCGAGACCATCGTTGATTGAAAATAGCGAACAAAGAACATTGGGCATACGACCTGTAGTGCATCTCATGTCAGTTTGGGATCGACGATTCAACCACAAAAGCTTAAGACCGACCTCCGAGTTATATTTTACGTACGCTTCACAATCCCTGTGGAGACTAACGGGCATTTTAGCTTTAGTTTGTTTCTTGTCAGTAACGCCGCACTCAGCAATATTCCAGCTATATGACGGCTGTCTGTAAACAATCGAGTCAGACAATCCAGTGATTCACATCATGAGCATCGATCTACAATGGGATACGATGGGATACGATGGCATGCATCAACCAAGTCAGCGTGACCACCCGATCCCGTGATATGCATAAAGCGCTAGGCATGTACCCGACCCTGGATGCTGAGAAGTAGAGTTGATGTGGTCTGTAGTACGAATGGTACTGAACGTGTCCACCCATAATACTGACATCAACTTTAGCCATTGCGGGATGGAGTTTAGCTGGTGCCAGAGTATAATAAAACGTGAAAAATGAAGGATTATGAAAGCTAGAATAATCACACTGCTACCGTTGACTTAAATTGTCACTCCGCATATAGTTGGTACAGCCGTTTTATGGTTGATGTAATTAGGGACATAAGAGAAATCGAGAAAGACTTCATGATAGGCAACCCCCAGCAGCCAGACTACGTTGTTAGTGTAATAGTCACTGGAACTAGTGAAACTAGTGAATCCGGTTCAGCTATGGGTTCTCCCCAATGCTGGCCAACATGACCTTACAATAAGCTATGATGTTTTGTCTCAGCACAAATCACAACGTTGTCAGGAACATTACCCCATCACTGCACGCTCCTAAAGTTTGTCCATTTGTCACAAAGTCGCAGACCTCTGCTTATTGTTTTGACAAGGAATCAAATTGGCTCAAGTTATTCACCTTCCCGAGGCAAGGGAGTTAACTGACAATAAAAGTCCAGTTTCCACCCTAGGCTAGTGTGGAATTCCGGAGTTACGACCACCTTAGGTTACTGGACCTATTCAGTCACGCGGATTCCACACGAGCCTTGAACCTATGAAGTGGCGGTGGAGTAGCCTAGTGTTTAAAGCGTTCACTCGTCACGCCGAAGACCCGGGTTCTATTCCCGACATGGGTACAATGCGTGAAGCCCATTTCTGTTGTCCCCCGCCGTGATATTGCTGGAATGTTGCTAAAAGCGGCGTAAAACCTTACTTACTCACTTCACTATTACGCATCTTATCAACTCATCATCAACCCTTGGGCTTCGGAAGACCTCCATTGAAATTTCGCACAAATGCAACGACATGGTAAGGTATTTGGGTTTTAGGGGGACTTTGGCCATTTGAGGTCTATTTGCACCCAACACATCGAATGTCTTCAAACAAGAGCAAAGTGAGTGACGGAAATGAGATGATTAACCAATCCGCTTCATGATATAGTTTATATGCTAAAACTGATGCTGTTTCTGAAAAGCTAGAATTCATTCCATAAAAAGCAGATCAGACAAAAGAGGAAACAGCGCTAATATGGTTTACAAATCAATACTAATCTATGTATATTTTAGATTTGTGTAATATATATAATTTTCCCGATGAAGTCAAGTATAGTACTGCTCTCTTAATCGAACCATAAAAGATGTTTGGGTCCAAAAGTGTAATTAGAAAAAAATAAGCTTTCTTTCTCAAGTACTGCACTTCTTAACTATAGTCCCATATGAATGTGCCCTGGGCATTTAATTAAAGGGCAAGTTCACACGAAAATAAACCTATTTTTTGTACTTTTTCATCATGAATGCCATGTTGTCTCACCATAAACTGGTACTTGATATCTTTTGCGTTGTGACAAGACAGGGATCCAGTTAAATTGGCACCAATTACGTCATAATCAAAGGGGGATAACTCAGGCCTGTTTAGCTCGGGAAACGAGAGCCTCATAACGGCATGACATTTTCACACTTATTGTGAGCTTCGTACTTTCACTGTGAGAAAAATAAGTGTATATTTTCAAACACTGATAATAACTAATTCCAAAATTGCGTTTTGATTAAAATAAGAACGAAAGCGATTTTTGCGTGTAAACTTCCCCTTTAAATGTTTCACTGTCTCGGAAGTATTTTCATCACAGAGCATACATACAAGGTAGTTCTCTTTATCAATGACACTGCGGTAAGCAGGTGAGCATTTCGTCGACGAATTGTCCAATTTGATTGTACAGAAAGACAAACTGTGTTCCTGTGTCGGCCAGCAGTCCCAGCATTCCACAACTGTTGTCAGCCTAAGGTAGAAGATTTTACTAAAATGGAGTCGAAATCGTTTGGTTGGAGTTTGACTTATGATATCGTCACCTCGGGATTTTGCAAGCCAGATTTCGCAAGTTGGTCTGCTGTCTCGTTTCCATGCAGCCCCCAAAAATTCAATATACTTTGAATTAAAAAATGTATCCAAGTTTAATATTTCTTAAACAATGTTACGTTGTGAACCATTGATACTTCACAACCTCCATGGAGTCAGTAAATATACCTGCTTCATGATCATATTCATTGACCCACCTCAGGGCTAGAAGAATAACTTCACATTCAGCTGTAAATACTGAGAGATGGTCAATTAGCCTGCACTTCAACAACGCAAAAGAGAATGAGTTATCTCCCCTAGAGTAAAAGTCAAGCACGTGAAGCCTGTTTGACAACTGCAGTAACACTGAACTCACTGGGAGTCCACACACACTACCCAATTCACGAAGTGCAGGTCCCCAACCTTGTCGCCCTTGACGACGAGCAGTGGGGTGCTGGGGACACACTCTACCTAGGGTGTGACTATTATGTTACAAGATACTGTTTACACTCATGTTTAAGTTGTCACATCATCTCAAATTCAGCAACGTCGTCAAACCAGGAAGCAGCGGTGATGTATTTATATCGTGGACTATGAACTTACCTGTTATAGTAGTGTTGAACATGTGTACACGCTGCGTTACATCTAAGTTTATTATCTCAGGAAAACTGAACCAGATACTCTCCTCATGCCGACATGCTACCCCACCGCCACTTCATAGGTTCAAGGCTCGTATGGAATCCTCGTGATTGAATAGGTCCAGTAATCTAAGGTGGTCGTAATAAACAGGTAAATGGGTCTTCAGGCTCAGTGACATGTTGACTGTATGTCATCGTAACCCGGTGGCGTGGATCGATGTTTATCATGTCAAGCATTAATATAGCGGACTTGCGTGAACAGGTAGCATGTGCAACAGTGTTAACATTGTATCTATATAAAGCAAGGTATTCAGACCTGTCGCCTGTATATAAATACATATTGATTTGGTTAAAGTCAACAAGCTGAAACCTTTGAATACCGTCTCGGATTGGTTATAAGTAATAGATAACTAAGTATGTATCTGCGTGTTGTGTCTGTTTTACTTACAACACATCACAGCATATCTACCCACAGCAATGTAGCTACCAGTTTCTGTCATCCTAGAATACAAACATGACCAGTGCCCAAAATGGAAACGACGGTTCAGAAAGAACCGAAAGATCTACCCAGACACATGAAAGTTTACTGACTTACGGTCCGCCAGGTGAAGATGGGGACTTCAGTACGGTGTCTAGTCCCTCAAAAGGACCAAGGAATGATGAAACGGACAGTACAGTGCCAAAGGAAGTAGCCGATGGTCAGGATGAAGGTCCAAGGTCAGATAGAGGTACTTCCAGCATCAATGAAGACAGCTGGATTCAGTTCAATGTGTCTGACCACCAGTGTGCACACAGCGACAGAGAGACTGGCGAAATACAGCTACATTGTTCGAAACAGTATGTAATTCTTCATCATTATAGAAGGGACCCGTGAAGATTCCGGGGTAGAATAGGTCTTCAGCAGCCCATGCTTGCCGTAAAAGGTAACTATGCTTGTCGTAAAAGGCGACTAACGAGATTGGTTGATGCTTGGCATCGATCTCAATTGCGTGGATCGATGCACCTGATATCAATCACTGGATTGTCTGGTCCAGACTCGATTAATTACAGACCGCCGTCATATAGCTGGAATATTGCTGAGTGCGGCCTTAAACAACAAACCAACCAACCAACCAAATCATTATAGAAGGCTTCAAATAGTGCTGAATATTTAACTACTCAACTGAAAGACTCAATCAAGTATCAGAATCGTGTATAATTCTTTTTTTAAAACTGTTTTTGGAGACAAGCGGTCTGAGGTGCCTCTATTCGCACTGCGGAGTTGCGTCCCTCGGACACGCCAATAACCTATTTTCTTGGGCTTCAGTTCGGTTCGCCCCGATTATGTTTCTAGGTTTGACAGCACCATACCCGGAGACAAACTCCCATCGTGAAGTCTGGAGTGCAATCTGCAGTCGGAGCTGGTTCTTGACATCAAGTCTTTCTACAGAGAGCTCTGGCTTTCAGATGTGTAAGTGTAATAACCTTCTTGCATAAGGGTCGATATTATTATATATTGGTCGATGTCACTTTAATTAATATACGCAATATATTCCCGCTGCAGGTGACGCATGTAAAGCTGCCGATGGGCTTTTCTGTGCAGCAGCAGCAAGGCATTCTGGGACAGTATTGAAAGTTCATCGTGCTGTACGCGGGTAAAGATACTAAAATGTCAGCGTTGATATAAAAGTGTTTCTAACAAAGGATTATTAGTAGTATGGTCGTTGTTTTACAAACCTATATATATATGTGTCCCTGTACAGATGTGTTCGACCGCCTCCGCGGTCTATGGAAAGAGTAGGTGACAGGAGCGCCAGGAAAGTTCGGTGGTTAGATCAAATAGACGTTAAAAATGCCATTTGCTGTTACCCTGCCTGGAGCTATGCACTAAGGGGATAAAAAAGATCTGATCGGCTCGGAGACAGTTTTCTGTGTCTGAGTGGGGTATCCATGTTAAACTGCAGAATAGTGCCTCAGTGGGCTAGCACGATAACACCGGCATTAGTCGGGGCTACAAGCATACACGCACACGCACACATACACACACACACGCACGCACGCACGTACGCACGAACGCAAGCACGCAAGTAATATGAAAGAATCGGGCTCTATAATTTTGTGTCAGTAGGATATATAAAACATTCTCTCTATTTATATTTGTGCACGCAGATATATTTACAGTCTTTGTTTAATTATCCAGGTTAAGTATGCATGTACATGATTTCCAATGTTGCAGATGGACAGACTGGTAGCTAGCTCGTTTTGGAAGAATCCTAAAAGATCAACGAAGAAATTGTGGTGAGAAGTAACATGCTTATAGATTCCAAATACCTACAAAAACATTATGTGAAACATCACAATATAATAAAACAACAGAGTACAAAAAAAATATCAGGAGGTTAAGAGAAGAGAAACAAGTACACAATGTAGACTTATTCGTACTAATAAAAGCATTTGATTGTAAGATGGAGACACAACCATAATCATATACATGTATTATAAATGCAGCTGGTTCGCTGGAGAAATGTCACGAGATGAGGCAGAAAGAAAGTTGGATGGGAAAGTACCAGGAACATTCATGATCAGGTACTTCAAAAACAGTATTTCTTCAAAGCAGCATTGTTAAACCTGTGGTAAATGTCTCGTGAGTGAGTGAGTGAGGTTGTACGCCGCTTTTAGCAATATTCCAGCAATATCACGGCGGGGTACACCAGAAATGGGCTTCACACATTGTACCCATGTCGGGAATCGAACCCGGGTCTTCGGCGTGACGAACGAACGCTTTAACCACTAGGCTACCCGACCGTCCCTGTAAATGTCACGTACGAAAGGAAGCACCTAAATATTTGTCAAAACGAATTGCGCATTTAGTTACAGTTTATTTGCAAATAGTTCAAATGACACAATATGGCCGACCATCAAATCGTTGATCGCCATGTTTCAGCAGATATTTACCTTTTATTTCACAGAATGAGCGCGACTCATAGGGAAGAAGGAAGTTTTGTGCTGTCACTGGTCATGGCTGATGAAACCACCGAACATTTCCTCATCGAGGTAAGACTGGTTGGCGTGTTCATAACATCCTCGTATATCCTCTAGTAGTTGAAGGTCGTTCTGACGTGACCTACAATAGGATGTCCTATGGTCTTTGTATAGTGGTAGCTAGCACTAAGATCTGATTGTAATGCGATTGTACTACTCGATCCTTTCATCGCCTAATACGTTTTCGGTTTCGTTGATGAGGACCTTTATTCTTAGACAGAAATCACCACGGGTCTCTACGAAAGTTTGAATACGCCTAGAACGAAATTGTTACGAAACGTACCTATACCATGTTGTATTTAAATCCTGCAATGTCGATAAATACTTATCTACCTGTTTTCAGTTTTGCGCGTGTTATTGTGTGTGCGCGAAAACTTTAACATTTGAAACCTCTAACTTACGCCGTTTGTTCGAAAGAGACTTTCGGGGCATCCAAGACTCATTAACGCCCGCAAATCATGTTTATCACCGTATTGTGATCACATTGTATTTACACCGTTCATGTTTTTGCAGGGACATCCATCACAAGCAGTACAATCCAATCCTTTCAGTCTGTGTTTGACGTTCCAAGGTCACACATTTTCTGGTTTACCAGATTTAGTGAACGAATACCTTGTACGTACAGATATATCGGATGGTGACCCCGACAATGGGACAAGGTGTCAGAGAGTGTGCTCGGACCTTCCGTACAACGGGATTCTGTCCAGTTACAAGAAATAACTTAGTCAGACAGTGGTATCAGCGCATGATCCCAGTCAGATCTAAACACAGGAGCATGCCTGGTCGTGATATGTTTTCTACATGCATAGGCGTTACCTGACATGCGTTACAATATGTACATTGTACTGTATGTTATGCATAGATTAAGCAGCTCCTTGTAAATGGGGAAGAGATTGCTACATTGAATTTCAAGCTAGAGACATGATATTTATTTTTTATGCTGGACAGGCCTTTGGAATGCTCTTGAAATACAATTAACATTGGAGGTTGTGTACACTGTTGTTGGGCGCAATTTGGTTATGTGCCCCTAAGGGTAATTCTTAAGGTAATTAATTCTTTGTGTACTGAAGCAACCCCTGTGATTATATGACATGTTTGTAAGAACAAATGCAACTGGAAATAATACAATCAAGTGAAAATGAAGTCAAGGTCAAGGCATATATAGGGTAGCTAGAGGCAGAGAATTGGCTGTACTGCATTTGATAGCATTAGGGATCAGGATGAAAGTACATCGATATTGGTGGGGTTAGCTGTCACCTGATTTGGTGAATTCCAAATGGTTCATGATGCATATTACTCGTGGGAAGTTCAGGAAAAAGTGAGTTTAGGGATGCTTTGGAATTTGCATATGATACAAACACCTTTCCAATTATTTATTGTGTCTCGCGTTTTTCATATTTTGTCGAAGTTGTATAGTTAATACACGACCAAATCGTGAAAAATGAGTATTCTTTATGTTACCAAAATGTATGCTGTCTAATTACTAATCTTTGATACATAAATTAACCTTCACAACCTCATCATGTCTTTTGTTGAAAACCAAGGTTGCCCCCACACATAATATACGTACGTGAAGCTCATATTGAAGGCATCGCTCATGTCTTGAACGCCCAGTACACTTTCATTAGCTGACACATATTATGATTCATAATACCAGCACTTTGTCTACAGCCTCACTGCACAAGTCAGTGTGCACGGGTGGCAAAGTATTCTGAGGCGCCGCAATTATCTGTGCAGAGTTAAGTCCCTTGGGCCCGCACGGCTTATATCCCAATCCCGGTTCACCAAACCGGTAAACGTTTGAGACCTAAATCACCAGGCCCTTTCCTCTCACATAAAGCTGACACGCCGTGGTATAACTGGAATTTTGTTAAAAGCAGCGATAAATCAAACTCACTCACTCAGTATGGCAGGGTAATCAGAATGCATAGAAATCCTTTGGCTTGCCATACATTGTGAGTGAGTGAGTAAGTGAGTGAGTTGGATTTAACGCCGCTTTTAACAGTATTCCAGTTATATCGCGGCGCGTCAGCTGAATGTGGGAGGAAAGCCCGAAGTGATGCAGGTCTCACACGTTTAGCACCTCGGTGAAACCCACAGGCATGGGTAAGGTGCTGACAAACCTAGAAACATAATCGGGACGAACCCCGAATCATAGGTTTCTGGCCTGCCCAAGGGACGCAACTCTGCACAGCGAATCGCGGCGCCAAAGACGACTGGGCCACCCGTGCCCCCACACTGTAAAGTGGTAAATAGACTAAGGGGATGGCCTCAATGACGAATCGACATTAAATATTCCATCATTCTCTTTCTGACATATGGTGGTTAATTTTAAAGTGATGCATTTTATCAGTTTTTGTATCACATTTTTAACTGTGCCACCCAAATGGAAGAAACGGTTGACCACCAAACACGATACGCCTTGTGGAAGGGTGAGTGAGTGAGTGGCCATGATAAAGTGAACTAGTCCATGTAGTACTTTGTTTGAGTAGTTCATTGCGAGTGTATTTGGTCTGTTGAGTCCCTTTGTAAAGTAGTCACAGCCAGTTGAACATGATAGGGGTCCAAATGGACACAGAAATGGAATAGAACGAGTAGCGAGCAGTCATCACTGTCACGGAGCTGTGCTCCAATGATGAAGAGTGTCATTAAACAGGAATAAAGTAATAATGAAAAGGTGGTAATACGTTCACAGGTTTATTTATAACAACCAATTGTACTAATAGATGACAATAAGGGGTCAAATAAACCCAATCTGCGCTGACAAGGATAACTGATTAATTACATCGGAACAAATACACAAGCGGCTTATATTAGCTAAGCAAATGCATCACAGTAATAAAATGAAAGTAGCTAAAACAACACTTTGACAGATACAGACAAGATGCATCGGCTGCGGCGGTTAACACCAGAGATAATTAAATCAACACTCGTATGGGTGAATAACTTCGGCTGGGTTAAATAACGTGAAATAAACACAGGGGACCAGTCCCTAACTTATGACACTTGGACTATAAAATAGACGAGCACGTCTGAATATCAAACTAGTCTCATCGATTAAAGATTCAGTCACTTTTACTGAGCAAGGAATTACTAAAATTCCCAAAACGCTAGACTATCACAGGAAGGTTGGTTATCCATGGATTACTAGATAAACTAAGTATTGGAAACCCTGTTTACTAAGTAGCTAGAAATACAATCAGAGTAACTCAGTCATAGATGAAACGTGTCCCGTAATCACTTACTAACAAAACATGAATTTCGAAGAGATCACCAAGTAACAAGACAATTGTAAACGATCTGACGCCGCCTAGGGGGCAAGACACTAGGTCGAGAAAAAGTAGATATATACAGCGCGCGGACCTCAGAGAGGTCTGCCGGGGAATAGGATAGTCTTGGGCGGTTAGCCCAAGTGTGCTTCTAAACATAGGGAAAACACGGATATCAAACTAACTACGAAATCCATAATGAAGATATAAGTATCAAGCTATTCAACGGTATCACTAACGATTTACAACAAGCTATGTACAATTATTGAGAAGGCAAAAATTATCCTAAATACATGAGAAATATCAACCCCATTATTTTACATAAAATGACGACACAAGAATAAAATAACCACTTTTTACCTTGTAAATGACATCAATAATAAAGATGTAAGTATCAAAATAAAGCACTAAAGTCTCTGAGCTCCTGGCGCATGAGTGGAAGTCCCAGAACGATGTCTGGATAGTCATTCCCAGGAGCTACTTTCTGTCATACAGACTTTGGAGAATTTCCGTTCCAGGTGCAATTTCCCTTTCCCAACAGCCAACCCCTTTATTTTACATGAAATGACCATACAATAATAACATAGTGATTCTTAACTTGTAAATGACACCATAACATAATATAAAAAAAGGTCATTCCAACAGGTGAAATATACCACAACTGTACAAAACTCCTTCTCATAACTCGACCCGTGAAGATTCCAGGGTAGTATAGGTCTTCATAAAACCCATGCTTGCCGTAAAAGGCAGCTATGCTTGTCGTACGAAGCGACTAACCGGATCGGGTGGTCAAGCTCGCTGACTTGGTTGATGCATGTCTTCGATCCCAATTGCGTGGATCTATGCTAATGATATCAATCACTGGAATGTCTGGTCCAGACTCGATTGTTTACTGACCGCAGTCATATAGCTGGAATATTGCTGAGTGCAGCGTTAAACAACAAACAAACAAATCTTATTATAACTCTGACACCCACATATTTCCAGTAAAACGTCATGAGCAAATTTTATCTCTTCATTCTACAATGTGCACCTCCTTGATAGCATAAAAAACAACGCTTGCTAATCAAAAGTGCATTCGTTTCAAAAGACAAAATGTATTATTGTTTGACAGAGGATAACATGATGTTAAAGAACAATAAACACGTAAAACATTCCAAACTTCTCTGACTCAAAACAACAGGACACTCCTTCAAACATAATTGAGTTTCGTGCGTGGCAAGACATTGCAATGCATTGTTTGATAGGCATTACTTAGAAGTTGGTGGATGACAAAGTAGACACATTTTATCGATAACACTTCTTTAATTACTGTAAAGGCGACATTTCGGTATAGATCCTTATACAAGGTAGGTAGAGGATTAACAGTAACACCTATTGCATACAAGAGGGATAAACATAAGTAGGTTAAGTAATGACAACAGAAGGGTAATACTGTAACAACATGATGGATAGAGAACACATGAGGTGGAAGCAAATAAGACAGGAAGCCAATTATACAGGATAAGTATACATAGACGGAGTGGTTATTGCTTTATGAGTTTATAGTAGAGTATGGGATGAAATAGCCATGATCCCTGTTGATTGATTGACAACATCTTAACAAACAACACCCCCGAGTACAGTTCACTAGCAAAATAGAAAAGAACAACCAACTACTCTTCTTAGATGTCCTTGTCTCCAGAGCCCCAACAACAGAATCCAAACCAGTGTATTAAAGAAGGTGTGATCCATGAAATGTGGCTACTTTGTCAAGACATTAAAATGACATGTCAAAAACACTATGATATACTGACTACTGGTTTACACACTGTATAAGAATAACAACTAATTGTACTAATAGATGACAATAAGGGGTCAAATAAACCCAATCTGCGCTGACAAGGATAACTGATTAATTTCATCGGAGCAAATACACAAGCGGCTTATATTAGCTAAGCAAATGTATCACAGTAATATAATGAAAGTAGCTAAAACAACACTTTGACAGATACAGACAAGATGCATCGGCTGCGGCGGTTAACACCAGAGATAATTAAATCAACACTCGTATGGGGATCTAAACAAACTACTCCAAATAAGCGATAAATCTACTATATTCCTAGGAGACTTTAACGCTCACCATCCTACATGGAGCATAGATGATAAAATAGATAATCATGGCAAATTAATCTCCGAATGGATAGAAACAAACGACCTAGTACTCCTTAATAGCAACCAACCCACGAGGTACGATAAGATAAACCAAAAAATGTCGGCTATCGACTTAACCATATGCACCTCAGATCTAGCCCAAAGTACTCAATGGGAAGTGCACGACGTCCGCTAGGTAGTGACCACTTCCCAATAAACATAACCATAGGAAATACAAACGTACCAATCTAAACAGAAAACCAAGAACCAAAATTCCATTACAATAAAGCTAACTGGGACCAATTCCAAGATATCTGCAACGAAGCTAACTTAAACGAAAAAGAAAATAATGATCCAGAAACCTATTGTAAAAACCTAACAGACTATATAATAAACGCAGCCAAAACCTCCATCCCCTTCAAAACATCTAAGACAGGCAAACCGACGGTACCATGGTGGAATGAGGAAATAGAACAGACTAGACGAAAACGTAAATCAGCCTTCAATAAAGCAAAACGCGACTACAAATATTTAAACATAGCCCACGAACTAAACCACCAGGTTCAAAAACTAGTCCAAATAGCCAAAAGTAGAGACTGGAAAAAATTCTGCGAAGGTATAAATAACCGTACAGATGCCAGAATGGTCTGGCGCAAAATCCATGCCATCAGAGGCTTAAAACGACATAAAAAAAACCCTAACATTGACAACTCAACCAACCCTGCCTAAAAGGCAAATAATCTCGCCAACCGCTTTTCGGCCGTTAGCAGTAACACCAACTTCAGTAAAAAATTCCAAGATAAACTTAAAACAGAAAACAAACCCACAAAAGAACCAAACAATAACAATCTAGAAATAAATCAACCCTACACAATGGAGGAGCTCATCTACGTAATCCAAAACAGGAAAAAGGGCACAGCCCCAGGATTAGACCTAACTTCTTACCAAATAATTAAAAAACTCCCCCTAAAACTACTCCAGGCACTACTCAAACTATACAATCTCATCTACCTAAACGGACAGGTTCCTACTCCCTGGAAACAGGCCCTAGTCATACCAATCCCTAAACCTAATAAACCAGCTAATCAAGCTAACTCATATAGACCAATATCCCAAACTTCAAACTTATGTAAAGTAATGGAATCAATGGCTAAAAATAGATTACAACATTACTTAACCCATGGCCAAAATAACTTCATAAACCCAGATCAAAGCGGTTTCACTCCTGGCCGCTCAACCCTAGATAACCTCGCCCGACTAGAACAAGATATTAAGACAGGACAACTAAATAAACAATATACCACAGGCATCTTCTTAGACTTCTCTAAAGCTTTCGACATGGTATGGCACAATGGGCTAATACAAAAACTTAAAAAAATAGGACTCAAAGGTCAGATAATAAACTACATCCAGGACTTCCTAAACAATCGTAAAATAACCGTGGGTATAGACCAAACTCTATCGGACCAATGTCCCCTAGAAAATGGTACTCCACAGGGCAGTATCCTCAGCCCCACCCTCTTCAACATAATGATAAACGATCTATTCGAGGGCCTATCCCCTAAAGTAAACACATCAAAATTTGCGGATGATGGAGCCATCTGGATCCGCACTAAAAGCATGAACATGGTCCAACATTTACTCAAAAAATCTCTTAATAAAATACAACAATGGGCTGACAAATGGGGCTTCTCCCTTAACTCAGAAAAAACAACAGGAATAGTATTCAAACATAAAAACATGAAACCCGCCTCCCCAATCCTCCAGCTAAACAATCAAACAATCAAATTTCAAAAACAAACCAAATTCTTAGGACTTATTTTCGATGAACATCTCACCTGGGATGCTCACATCCAAAACCTAACAACTAAATGCAGCAAAGACCTAAACACCCTAAGATGCCTAACTGGCTCTAACTGGGGAGCATCCAAAGATACCCTCCTCTCTCTCTACATATCACTAATTAGATCAAAACTAGACTACGGCTGCGCCATATACAACACCCTAAACAACTCTCTATCTAAAAAACTTGACTCAATACAATATCAGGCTCTCAAACTAATTACACGCACCCAACATGGCACCTCCTACACCTCACTTCAGGCCTTAACAGGAGAAATGCCACTAAGTCTACGCAGGGAACAGCTAAGCTTAAATTTCTGGGCCGCGTCCCAATCAAACCCTCTCATCCAAAACTTAATAAACCAAAACATCAGCCCCAAAAACCAAGCTCTAGCTCGTAAACACCCCTTACTTACCCCAATATCCCAAAGAATAACAAACTACCTAAATGAACACCAAATTAAAAATCTTAAACAAAACTGCAAGCAATCAAATATCTTCACCCCTAAACTTAAAATACCCAAAATAGACACAACACTAGCTAGCCAAATAAATAAACAAACCGACCCAAACATAGCTAAAACTACCACACTAGCATACATACACGAAAATTGGCCAAATTGGTGTCACATTTACACGGACGGATCCTCAGATCCGACCTCCAAACACACAGGTTTCGGAGTCCATACAACACAACCAACAAAAACCACACAATCCTTCCGACTCCCAAACAACCAATCAATATTCACGGCAGAACTAATGGGCATGGCCTCAGCCCTCCATAATCAAGAATCCAAAAAACACAAAAAAATCCTAATACTTACCGACTCCCTAAGTGGACTGCAAGCCCTCCAAAACAAAAATACCAAAAACCGACCTAAATTAATAAATCAAATACTTAAAAGCTCCAACGACCTAACTAAGGCAGGCAAACAAATAACCTTCTTGTGGATACCCGCATACGTAGGAATATACGGTAATGAAAACGCCGATAAAGCAGCTAAACTATCCCTCAAAATCCCAGAAATAAGCTTAAACTTACCCATCTCAAAATCAGAAATTAAAAGTGTAAACAAGCAAAAAATCACAAAAAAATGGTATAACCTATATCTAAACTCAAATAGCCAAATCAAAAAAGTGCTCAGCAAACCACTAACCAAACCAAAAATTCTCCATCCCTCCAAAAAAATCGACAGAGTTATCACTAAACTCCAAACAGGACACACCAACCTAAATAACCACCTAAAATTTTTAAAAAAACACACTACAGGTAACTGCCCACACTGCAAACAACCAGAAACCCCAGAACACGCACTCATCCACTGCACACACTACCTAACACATCGAACCGCATTACAAACCACCCTCAATCTAAACAAGGCTCTAACTCTAGAAGCAATACTAAACCCACAAAATAAACTAGAAAACTTCAAGGCCTTAGGCGTATTCTTAATAAACACGGAACTTATAAAACGCATCTAAAAACACAATAACCTACCAAATCAAAATCACATAAACAAACAAACATCCACCATACCCAGCTCCCTTAGTTCTCCTCCCCAATCCCATCGGCATCTATTCCAAATCTCAAAATTCCCAAATTCTATATAAGCAACCCCTAAAACCCCCCTCTTGGGTTGCACAGACCACTTTCGCCCCTTTCGGAAACACATTAAATGGCCTGGCCGGGCCCGTGTGCGAAATACGCATCAGTCGGAAAGCGCACGTTAAATCTCCAAAGTAAGTAAGGGTGAATAACTTCGGCTGGGTTAAATAACGTGAAATAAACACAGGGGACCAGTCCCTAACTTACGACACTTGGACTATAAAATAGACGAGCACGTCTGAATATCAAACTAGTCTCATCGATTAAAGATTCAGTCACTTTTACTGAGCAATGAAATACTAAAGTTCCCAAAACGCTAGACTATCACAGGAAGGTTGGTTATTCATGGATTACTAGATAAACTAAGTATTGGAAACCCTGTTTACTAAGTAGCTAGAAATACAACCAGAGTAACTCAGTCATAGATGAAACGTGTCCCGTAATCACTTACTAACAAAACATGAATTTCGAAGAGATCACCCAGTAACGAGACAATTGTAAACGATCTGACGCCGCCTGGGGGGCAAGACACTAGGTCGAGAAAAAGTAGATATATACAGCGCGCGGACCTCAGAGAGGACTGTCGGGGAATAGAATAGTCTGGGGCTGTTAGCCCAAGTGTGCTTCTAAACATAGGGAAAACACGGATAGCAAACTAACTACGACATCCATAATGAAGATGTAAGTTTCAAAATAACGTGCTGAACATAAGCTATTCAACGGTATCACTAACGATTTACAACAAGCTATGTACAATTATTCAGAAGGCAAAAATGATCCTAAATACATGAGAAATATCAACCCCATTATTTTACATAAAATGACGACACAATAATAAAATAACTACTTTTTACCTTGTAAATGACATCGATAATTAAGATGTAAGTATCAAAATAAAGCACTGAACATGTGTGCAAGTCTCTGAGCTCCTGGCGCATGAGTGGAAGTCCCAGAACGATGTCTGAATAGTCATTCCCAGGAGCTACTTTCTGTCATGCACACTTTGGAGATTTTTCCGTTCCAGGTGCAATTTCCCTTTCCCAACAGCCAACCCCTTTATGTTACATGAAATGACCATACAATAATAACATAGTGATTCTTAACGTGTAAATGACACCATAACATTATGTAAAAAGGTCATTCCAACAGGTGAAATATACCACAACTGTACAAAACTCCTTCTCATAACTCGACCCGTGAAGATTCCAGGGTAGTATAGGTCTTCACAAAACCCATGCTTGCCGTAAAAGGCAGCTATGCTTGTCACACGAGGCGACTAACGGGATCGGGTGGTCAGGCTCGCTGACTTGGTTGATGCATGTCTTCGATCCCAATTGCGTGGATCGATGCTCATGATATCATTCACTGGAATGTCTGGTCAAGACTCGATTATTTACTGACCGCAGTCATATAGCTGGAATATTGCTGAGTGCAGCGTTAAACAACAAACAAACAAATCATATTATAACTCTGACACCCACATATTTCCAGTAAAACGTCATGAGCAAATTTTATCTCATCATTCTACATTGTGCACCTCCTTGATAGCATAAAAAACAACGCGTACTAATCAAAAGTGCATTCGTTTCAAAAGACAAAAATGTATTATTGTTTGACAGAGGATAACATGATGTTAAAGAACAATAAACACGTAAAACATTCCAAACTTCTCTGACTCAAAACAACAGGACACTCCTTCAAACATAATGGAGTTTCGTGCGTGGCAAGACATTGCAATGCATTGTTTGATAGGCATTACTTAGAAGTTGGCGGATGGCAAAGTAGACACAATTTATCGATAACACTTCTTTAATTACTGTAAAGGCGACATTTCGGTATAGACCCTTATACCGTTGTCAAGCGTGAGTGAGTATTATTTTACGTCGCTTTTAGCAATATTACAGCAAGCAAGATTAAATGAACATGGTACAGAATAATATACAGTAGGTGGAGGATTAACAGTAACACCTATTGCATACAAGAGGGATTAACATAAGTAGGTTAAGTAATGACAACAGAAGGGTACTACTGTAACAACATGATGGACACAGAACACATGATGAGGAAGCCAATAAGACAGGAAGCCAATTATACAGGATAAGTATACATAGACGGAGTGGTTATTGCTTAATGAGTTTATAGTAGAGTAAGGGATGAAATAGCCATGATCCCTGTTGATTGATTGGCAACATCTTAACAAACAACACCCCCGAGTACAGTTCACCAGCAAAATAGAAAAGAACAACCAACTACCCTTCTTAGTTGTCCTTGTCTCCAGAACCCCAACAACAGAATCCAAACCAGTGTATTAAATAAGTTGTTATCCATAAAATGTGTCTACTTTGTCAAGAATTCCAATGACATGTCACAAACACTATGATACACTGACTATTGGTTACACACTGTAACTTTCGATATTTGAAAAGAAAAAGTTCAGCAATTATTATCATGGACCGTTATGTATTATAACCATTATCATGGACGAAATATGCCTTTTTCAATAACAATTTACTTGTGTTTTCGTTAGGAAACCATGTTCATCATTCAGTCTTGCTTGACAATGGTATAAGGATCTATACCGAAACGTCGCCTTTGCAGTAATTAAAGAAGTGGTTGTCCATAAATCATGTCTGCTTTGTCAAGACAGTGCAATAGCATGTTGCAAACACTATGATAAACTGACTATTGGTAAACACACTGTATAATAACTTTCGGATATCTGACAAGGTAAAGTTCAGCAATTATTAGGCTGATCAATCATCAGACAAAATGGCTTATTTCAGTGACGTGCATGCTGACCCTCCTTCTTTTATTTTTCATCTGAAGGAGCAATATGGTAATACATACTAAGAATACGTTAGAACTCAAAATAATAGATAAGATAGTTCTGGCCAATGAAGTGATATATTACCACGACCTCATCTAAGTTTAAAACCTAAATAATTCATTCTCTCAGGAGAGATTTTCCATAGAGCTTCGTGTCTCTTTTAACAAAATGGGACGCAATAAAGGGGGACAACGATGACCAATATATGTTTGTGAAGTATTGGGTTTCAGTTTTGACCATTATTTCTACAGCACAATGTATGATAAGGCATGTTTTGGCCCACGGTTGTGCATTAGTTAAGAAAACATCATCTTTCTGTCACGGACATGGATCGGAATATGGTGAAAGAAATTTATTTGAATTTCTTCTTACATTTAGATCTGGTTCGACATTGTGATGTCAGTGGAAATATTTGGTAGATTGCACAAGAGAAGTCTATATTAACATGTAAAACTTTAAAACAAAACGACAAATTATTGTAATCATTTTCAAAAGATGTTTTTTTTACTCATTTTGATTCTATAAAGACTTTTGTAAATCTTTTCCTAAACGTGTTTCGGTATATTTTCATAAACAGTGAGAGAAGTGTAATATCAACGGTTATCATGGACGAAATATGCCTATATCAATAACAATTTACTTGCTTTTTACTTAGGAACCTGTCCGAGTTGGAGTTACACAGTTACCATTATAAGCATCACCAATCCCTACACAGTTACCATTATAAGCATCACCAATCCCTACTTACATTTCATCACATGTACACTATGTATAGGTCTTTTATTTGTACATTCTGCCGAAATGTTCACTCAAAAGTGTTATTTTGAAAACATGTCCTCTAATGTCACTGTGACAGTTCACTGTCATCTTCATATTCAAACAAATCATCATCATCAAAGAAGACAACCGTCCACAATTAATTGTCTGTACTCATGTCAGAAAATCTTTGGATAAGTTCAATCAGTTCATGATCACTGGCACCAAGTTCATCAACATTGAAACACCCCACGAGTTTCTCTGCAACAACCTCATTACCTCTATCACAAGCTGTATGTAAGCACGTACTTCCATCGTCATCCTTGCAAAGGACATCAGCGCCACATGACAGCAAATGATCAACAATGTTTGCGTACCCATGGTAACTCGCTCTTATTAATGGGGTCGCATTTTTCAGTCCACGCTTATTAATGTTAGCGCGTTTATCACCTCTACTAGACGTTAGAAATTTCACAATGTCGAACAAACCGTTGTTGCAGGCCACAAATAAACAGCCGCTGCCAAGATTGATATCTGCTCCCTTTTTCACTAGTTGCTCTACAATACCAATGTGACCTTGACCACAAGCAAGCATGGTTGGAGTCCAGCCGTCTTTTGTGAGAGGATCGATATTGTGATCAAATTCAAGACAAAGTTGAACCAGATGCAAATCACCAGATTTTGCTGCAAAGTGCAGACATGTTGTTTTTTTATCGTCCACCATCTGCATGTCGGCATCATTTTGCCTCAAGAATGTTACCATATCAATATGGCCATTCTGAAAAGCATACATTAAGGGAGTTCTTGATGCTGAATTAACACAGTTGACAATGATTCCTGATTGTAGAAGCCACTCAGCGGTTGGAACGTGCCCTTTCATTGCTGCCAAGTGTAGACATGAAAAGTTATTTTCATCGACGATATCTAAAACAGCATGTCTACGTTTTAGTTCCTTTGCTGTTTCCAACTTTCCATGCCTGCAAGCACACATTAATGGCGTTCTTTTGAACTTACTACCAACATCTTCAATGTTCATTCCATGATCAAGAAGTATCTTTACAACATTGGTTTCTCCCGTCATACATGCACGATGTAGACAGCTGTTGTCCACCATCTGTATGTCAGCGCCATTGTTCATCAAGAATGTTACCATATCAATATGGCCATTCTGAAAAGCATACATTAAGGGAGTTCTTGATGCTGAATTAACACAATTCACAGTGGCTCCTGTTTGTAGAAGCCACTCAGCTGTTGGAACGTGCCCTTTCATTGCTGCCAAGTGTAGACATGAATTGTTCTCTTGATCGAAGGCATCTAAAACAGCATGTCTACGTTTTAGTTCCTTTGCTGTTTCCAACTTCCCATGCCTGCAAGCACACATTAATGGCGTTCTTTTGAACTTACTACCAACATCTTCAATGTTCATTCCATGATCAAGAAGTATCTTTACAATATTGGTTTCTCCCTTCATACATGCAAGATGTAGACAGCTGTTTGTATCAGAGCCAGAATCAACTGAGGTGGGTGCTCCATTCTCTAGGAGCAACTTCACAATATCTTCATGTCCATTGTACGAAGCGTACATCAAAGGTGTTCTTTCATATTTACCATCTTGGTTCAAATCCATAGATTGTCTGAGCAGCAATTTAGCAACGTCAAGGCATCCTCCTCTGCACGTGAGATGAAGACAGTTGTCTTTCTCTTCATCTAATAGTTCTGGATCTGCTCTCCTGTCAAGTAGCATTTGGGCCAAAACAGTGTGTCCGCGATAGCAAGCATGCATGAGAGCTGTCATACCATTTCCCCCAAGAACATCAATCGCTGTGCCTACAATGTCAAGCAGTATACGTACACATTCTGTAAACCCATTGGCAGCAGCCACGTGGATTAACATATCTCTGTTGTCACCAGATTCTCGAGGGCAGTCTTTGTCTGAGGGCACTGCAGGAGCGGTAATACTCTTTCCTGTAGAAAGAGATTGAAGATACGGTCTGGTTTTATCTTTGGTACGCAGGATGTCCCCGACAGTTGTAGTGGCTAATTTGTCAAACGAAGAGTCAGATTGACCAACAAGCCCTTTTAAGTAGCTCAAGTGCCCATGCATGCAGCACCCAAGATAACATTCAAGGATGTCTGATTCACATAGCTGCATTCGTGGAATGTATTTGCAAAATGCACCTGTGTCCAAATATGACGACCAGAATAAGAATCCTCGATCCTTGTCACGTTGAAACAAAATATTATCTGCTGGGAAGTAGGAGAAGAGTTTGTCAACCAGGTCCTCAAAGGTAAAACATTGATGTGATAATGAGAGGGACAAGTTACCATTAGTAATTTCTCTTCCAAGTCGACTCACAAGATTCTCCGTTAAATCATCTTCAATATTAATAAGGAACATATTCATATGACCATCTTTTGAGATGCCTGTATTCTTGGTTTCTGAAATCCAAATTCTGTCAACTATGAACTTTAGACTGCAGTTCTCTAAGGCGACAACAGGGTTTAAATCAATCACAATGCATGCCACAACATCATGAATAGCTGGGTGACTAAATTTTGCGCAATTGTTCTTTAATAGCACAATCAGTGAATCTTTTTCGTTTCTTGCAGATTTCCTGATTTCAGAAGGATTGTTAGCGTCTGGCATGATTTCCCCAATCTGTGATATCTTTTTATCCAGTCCGGAATCCCTTCGCCGTTGAGGATCTAAGAGATCATTTAAGTGTAGACCACCTTCATTGAGTATCATAAGCAGGAGAACTGCAGCCCTGTACCTTTCTTTTGAAAAGATATCAGCTACTATACCATGCAAGTAGATCCACGGTTTCTTAAAAAAATCAAAGGCATTTCTTTTTGAAGAAGAATTCTTCACAAACAGTTGGCATATGTAAGGAAATCCCAGTGTCGTGTACTCCAATCTTGCAACTGCTAACATTTCATCATGTGTTAGATCAAATTGCGATCCTTCCAAATGTTTTTTTAAAATCTGTTCTTTTTCAGTATCATCAAGTGGAGTAGATATTGTCAGATTTATGACAGGTGACAGCAATGAATTTTGGTATTTAATTACCATTTGAGAGACACTATTCCAGACGTTTGTCCGACTGGTCATAATGACCTTCAAAGGCATCACATCCTTTTCCATTTCCAAAAGTTGGAAATGATGTTCTAAATATTCAAACATAGCGTCACAATTCTTCACAACATCGGCTGATGATGCAAAAGTACCAAACACATTATCACAAACCAGTAATGTTTGAGTGGGTGTGTTGTACTTAAAGTTCTCCAATTTATCTACACAAATCACGCGGTGTCCCTCTGCTCTGTATTTTCCTGAGATGTAGTGGGCCATTGTTGTTTTTCCTGATCCAGGCGAACCACAAATAAATACATGGTCCTTTGTTTGCAGGGCATTCCAGACTTCACGATAAGCCCCAGTTTCTATAAATATCGTCTCTGCGTATAGCTCCTCAGTTTCATCTGTGATTTAATAGAATGTATGTATTATTAATAAATTTCAAAAGCCAGTAGCAAAGGTGCTTCTACAATGGTATTGAATTACCATTTTTATTAGTGAGAGAGTCAGGTTTTACGCCGCTTTTAGCAATATTCCAGCAATATCACGGCGGGGGACACCACAAATGGACTTCACACATTGTACCCATGTCGGGAATCGAACCCGGGTCTTCGGCGTGACGAGCGAACGCTTTAACCACTAGGCTACTAGACCGCCCCTACCATTTTTATTACCTTCGAGGGCAAACATATCGGGGTTCATAAAAATCATAGGTGCTCTAGGGTCGCATCACGTCACCAGACAACGCTGTACTGTTTCCGTCATCCGGGCGGCATTGTTGACATCATTCGAATATTATTATGACGTCAGATCGGAATGACGTTACTTTAGATTGTTGACGTCATTCGACAAATTGTGGTTTCGCTGCTGTTGCGACTTGCTGTTCTTGTAGGTACACACTACAATTCGTCTCTGTATCTAGACATCTTCTTCGGTAATAAATAGAACATTATATTCGTGTTCAGGTCATACTATGTTTACGACACTCGTGCCTGAATTCCAGTATTGCTCTCGCTCGGGAAATACCGTAATTTAGACACTAAACATAGTATGAAATGAACACTCATATAATATCCTCTATATATATGTTTATAAATATATACCAGCTGACAAACATTCCTGTGCATCACTGACAATCATGGGTTATATTAAATATACGCAAACAAAGGACGATCTTTCTACTGATTAATATATTGATGTCCATGAAGGTATATATATATATACTGAGCCGCAAAAGAAACGTCACCATTGATAGATATATGAGAAACCTTATTTGTCCAAACACTGTAAACATACTCTGAGACATATTAAAAAGATCAAAGTGATCAACAAGGTTTAAATTAAAGTGTCAAATGTTCTTAAAGTGAAACACAACACTAGTCTCTGAGAAAATGGCATCACAAATCAGTATCTCGTGTGTCCGCCCTGTGTATTGATGACTGCCGTGAAACGTCGATACATGGAATTGATGAGGCGGTTGATGAAGGGCCATGGGCACTTGAGCCCACACTCTGAGGAACGCCTGACGCAGTTCAGCTGCAGTTGTCGGCCTTGGTCGGACGTCATTCAGCTGTCTTTGAATCTCGTCCCACAGGTGCTCAATGGGATTTAAATCAGGACTGACGGCAGGCCACTGCATGGTTCTGATGCCATTCTGCTGGAGGAAGTCTCTTGTTCTCGCACTGTGGGCATGGGCGTTATCATGCTGAAACACGTGGTTGCGGCGACGTGCCAAATGTACCAATGCTGCTGTAACACCATTGCCTCACCTTGGACCTATGTTCTGAAAGACCACAGGGCCGAGCCTCTGTGCAAGACCAATTCCACCCCACACCATGATGCTGGGACCACCCCACGGGTCTCTCTCAACAACACAAGCATCCGAATATCGTTCACCACGGCGTCGCCGACTCTCGTTGGAGAAGAGGATTCTTCTCCACTGCTGGTTGCGCCGATGGTGGTGCTGTGTTGCCCACTGAAGACGGTCCCGGTGATGACGTGGTGTCAGAATGGGTCCTCGATGTGGCCTATGACAGTGGAGGGGTCTGCTCGTCAATCGTCGAAGCACAGTGTCCACACTGATGTGTCGCTGGTGTGTCCCCATGGTCTGTCGAACAGTTTCCGCAGCAGTAACAAAGCGATCTCGAAGATGTTGTCGCACAATCTGACGATCTTGACGTCGGGTGGTGACCCTTGGTCTTCCACAACGTGGTCGGTAATCTATAGTGTTGGTGGTCTGGAACCGTTGCTGGAACCTGTTTATGGTCTTTACATGGACTTGAAATGCATTGGCTACTTGCCGGGCGGTTTGTCCAGCTTGCAATCGCCCAAGGACTTGGTGTCGCTGATTTCTTGTCAATCTTGGCATGTGGTAGCAATTCAATAACGAATGAATGTTATCCGATCTGGGTGGATTTTTACAGGGCAAGAAATGGGGGAATTTGCACGGAACTCACATGCATCAGGTTACCATGGCCGTTGCCGTGATGCGTTTGGGCGATCGGTTTTATTCTCATCTGCTTTGTTTTTTTATCATCAAATTTCCGGACAAGGTAATGTTAAATTTTAGAAACTTGGAAAAAAATAACCCAGATATTTAAATGACAACTTTTCATGCAATGTTACTTGGGGTGGTGTTTCTTTTGCGGTTAAATATATACATACATCCTAATTTTATATATCCACACACATATTTTACATCATTTACACATATATTACATTATACATATCCACACACACCAAATAATTCACACGAAAGTAAAATAACATTTGTCAATAATTAATAAATTACGCATGTGCATACATATGCATCAATTTTCTATGCATCGTTTTTTATCAGTATTATTTTCGTTTTCCAAATTATGAAACACTAAAATTAACGACTACATTCCCGAATTCATGGTTTTGGTCCCTTGGGAATCGGACTCAAACTTGGCACTTGTACAAAACCTTCATTCCCAATTCATAAGAAAAGCACTATACATTTTTGTGAGAGAGTACAACTGAGCAGAGAAAACCATCTCACCCTGAAGGCTGCTTGAAGTCAAATCTTCTGAAACGAATCATAAAAATGTTGACAGTAATGATAACATATGAAAACTTTCGAAGATAACACTTGAAAGACTTGCACCAGGGAGAAGACGGGAGGATAAATATACAGGCATCGGGACTATTTCAATCCAGAAGACATGATATATAATAGAATGATGAATTAATGCTTTATACTAACGTCATTAAGAATGATAGATAACTAATTCATGAGGGAGTGAGTGCGGCAGTTGGGTTAAGTGCTGCGTAACAGTATTCCAGTACTATCAAGGTGGCAATTGAATGTTGGAAGAAGTTTCATACTATTTTATTCATCGTATGAATTGACATCATTGGATGCTTGTCAAACTCTGTGATGTACACAGAGACATTGATATGTACACGTAACACTCTCAGCCTCAATACAGATCTAGAGACACCCCGTTGATCAGGAAGGAAATGTTTCCACTGAAGTAGTCAGGATTTTCAAATTTCTGCACAAAGGCAAGATACCAAAGAGTAACAAATGGGTTTCATTGTACAGTGTTCGTATTTGACAGTTTAAAAAACTTACAACAACTATGCATAAATCTTATTCACATCTCATCAGCTGGTGGTTTTGGCACGTAGCAAACAGGTCAATGGCATGGTTGCCTGAACTTCTCAAGCAGTAACTGAAATGCTTCTGTGTGAAGTTTCCACTAGTGCAGGTGACAAGAGGCATAAAATCTTTAGTCTTCTGTCCCGTGGTACTGATAGGAGATCCTGGTCTGTCTGGAACAGGCCTCCTATGAACTGGAGCTGATAACAAGGAGTTAACTCCGACTTCGCCTCGTTGTTTATCTATCCCAGTTGATATAGTAGCCTTCTGGTAAATTCCCGATGGCGTACTAACGTTGGTATGTGTTGATGACACAGGAGACAGTCGTCTATATACGACTCGAACTAAATGTGAGCTTGGAGAAGTCCTGGTCCAATTACCTAATCATGGCTGTCAACATCGGATCCAACGGAATCGATGTAGGATGTGACCATATGGTGTCCCTTTTATCCACCCCATTACCAGGGAAGGGTGCCCCTGACATGAGACGGTCTGCTACCCAATCGGGTTCTTGCGCTAAGCGATATGCATATTCCATTCCACAGAGGAATTGCCATACCCGCTATTTGATAAATCAGACGAGTCAGATGCACTCGCCTGGACGGTGATCGGCTTTTGCTCCGGCGCATAGCGCCTCCTCTATCAGAAGGCTTTGATGATCCGCTTGGTGATAAGGAGTCATGTGCCGATTTCCATGTACCCGCTGGCGTACTAGCGCTGCCAAGCGATGTATTCACTGTACCAGAACGCACATTAGGCGTTTGGTATACGTTAGGCGCCAGTGTAGGCGCTTGCACTTGTGCCATAGTTGTAAATAGGCGTTGGCGTAGGCGTAGGCGAAGGATACAGGTGTGCCATAGACTACTGCCACATGGACTGCATAAAGTTTTGCATCCAATTCGTGTTCTGGAACAGTGGTGACGCCTGAGCGTACATCTGCTGCGGCAGATAAGTCGTTGGAAGCTGATCTTGCGTCGCTTACGTAACAGGTTACACGTAAGCCCTGGGGCTCTTGTAATAGTAGAGGCACTTTGGTGGTAGGGAGGCGGTGCGCTCGGCGCAGGCCTTTGAGAAGCAATGATCATCGTGATGACTGGATCATGGCTTGCGTCTGCGCTACCCCATCAAGGCGTCTTGAGACACTCGCGCCGGCGGCGCAGGGATCGTAGTACTGGGTGTCCCAGGAGCTAAGGAGTACGATACTCACAATAGTCTCCTGTACTATTGATATCGGCGGAGGCTGTACCATGGAAGCCATATTACCCATCGAAGATAACGGCTGGGCAGTAATGACAGAAAAATGTCCGTCGCTAACCTCAAGCGATTGTGACATCTTCCTCGCCACTCGACGGGACTGCTGCAAAATACGTTTGTGAATTACCTGTCTATAATTTGCAAAACTTGCTGGAGAGAGAGGTGCACAAATATTACATTTAAAGTTTGGAGAGCAAATCTGCGTGCATGCCAAACAACGTGGATGAGGATCCTTGGAATATTTTTTCCACGACAATTAGTACAACGTGCAAGCATAAGTTACGCAAAATAGAGAATTGTTGATGAGATTGAGTTGGAAGATTGCCATAGAATTAAACAATATTCTATCGGCAGATATTCTTACGAGTTGAAAGTGTATACAAATATTGATACACGCAAACTGTATGTAACACCAAAACTACTAGTATTTACAAACATATGAATATGTTATACATACATAGCTGAGAATTATAAACAATTTGACTACCCTTGCAGGCAAACAATTGTAACACAAATCAAAATGGCGGGATACAACGAGCACGTGGCGGGAAAGAATACAAAGTATTTTTACGCCTACATAACCCACATAAAACTACACACCAGTGAAAGTAATATGAAGAGAATACATCTCCTATCGCAAATAAAATTTAGAATTATACTCTTAAAAAAAAAACAACTTGACAATGACATAGATGTAAAACCACTTTTTGCCAAATATCTAAAATAATTACATTAAATGAGAACCAAATAAGTCAAACAGAAAGATGATATGTCTATAATTCACGAAAACACATGCAAAGCACATAAATGTAGCGTTTGGGGATCAATTTTACAGCTTCATCGAATCGCAACTGCCTGTACAGGGGTGGAAATTTGCCATTTCCCAACTCCCGGGGCAAGTAGAAATACAAGGTCGGGCAACAAAATCACTTACTTTAACTTGTCTGGAGGCAAGTAATATTGGAAATTACTATCACTGTCTACATGTCTGACTACTGGTAAAATGGTACAATAAATTAGCTGAGAGAAATTTCGTAATTGTGCTTTCGTAACATCGCATGTTTTTTTTTCGTAGCGAATTCATTGGATTAAAATTTGTTTCTAATGACGCTTTCTCGCCGAAATCTGCTACAAGTTTCGTGTTTGGTCAATTTTGAGCACGTGACCTCAGGCAGCCAATCAAATTACAGCTGTGATACCAAGCTCGTGTTTGATAAATTTCAGAAGTTGGCGAAAGATTTTTGTTAAATCCTGTTATTCTGAACGTTTTAAGCAGGAACTCACGATATATATTACAAATATGGAACTTCGGGAATGTATCGTGCTAGGTTACGAGCTGTGACAAAGATTTTTCATGCATATATTTTTGCATTAAACATTGTGTCCGAGCCGAGAATTCAAGGCGACGAAAGCCGAGATGTCATTTGACTTACATTACACGCGATCGCACGAAAAGATGGAAAAAAAATAATAACTTAGATGTAAGTTTGATTACTTTTAGATATATTTTTGTTGATTTTATTTATTACTTTGTATAATATATTTAAAGATTTGCTTAAAACGTCTTTATTTTGCTCTTTGACATGTTCGATGTGGACCCGTTGTCGAAATGTGTGTCTGAGAATTATATTTTCAATAACATCGCGTGAAATAGTGAATAATTTTTTAATTTATCGATCAAAAATGATAAATTGAAATAGAATATGTATTTCAGATATTGTGAAATGTGACAGATTTAATAAATGAATCATATTACAGGTGGATCTAGGTCCATAAAAATATATACTATTTTGACGTGACTACGGCTTGGCCGGAAATCCGGCCTACGGTGTCTGGGGACTCGATGCTTCTTGGCCTGAAAACCGGCCTACGGTGTTGAAAGAGATAAACACATATTGATGATTTGAAGTTTTGTTTTGAAATTATTTGGGCAAGTGAAAATGAAATCAAGGCAAGTAAAAATTGGCTTTAAACTTGTCCGATGGCAAGTGAAGTTTTTTTAAAAATTTCCACCCCTGCTGTAAAAAACGTGCAGCACAGGATCCTGCATGCAGGCCCCCCTGCTGAATGGGTATAAAAATCAACATCAACGACCGCCAGTAGGGTTTGACGGACACTCTTAGACCACTGACGATAGGGACACAAGATGGAGAGGCTTTTCGGTTGCGAGAGGTTTTATTTTCGAAAACCACGAGGCGAGTACAAACAAATGAGAGAGAGAAGAGCGAAGACAAGGGGGCTAACTCGGGAGTCTTCCGTACCGCTAATAACCAGCCAACACTATTGGCGTAACTTCTTCTTTCCTTCTCCAGAAGGCCAGTGACAGAAACTGAGTAAAGAAGTGGGCTTTCTGCCTGGGAATTAAGATGGACATAATGGTGGTACCATACACTAACACAACGAAACTAACACAAACATTGCCTATAATGTACAAGAAAACGTGGTAACATTATGGGAATAGTGACAAACAAAATGTATGAAGCATAGGGTAGACCGTCATAGGGTAGACTGCCCTCAAGTCTATGGGATTATTCTGCCCAACACACTGTGTGAGTACACAATGACTCGCGTGAGAATAAACTCACAGATTGTCTATATCAGTCAAGGACGTAGTCACGTTAACGGCCGGGTAGATGACGTGAGCGTGTAGGGTACCTCTGTGTCTGTAACTGACTAGTCACGGGTTCAGAGGTGTAGACGTGGCCGGGAATATCGCTGACTGTATCTTCTTGGTCTGTTTGGATAGTAGGGGAACTGCAGGCTGGTGCAGGCATCTCATGAGTCTGATACTCAGGTAGAGGGTCATTCTCTGGAGGACTAGAAAGGATTAGAGGAATATGAGGGGGGTCTGGTGGTTTATGGCAGCTTGCCATGGACTTGTCTCCTTCAGTGTCGTCATCCTCTTTGGCCCCTGCATGAGTGCGTACTGATGTCAGCGGCATGAAATTAGGTACTGTGAAGCACTCTGTATGAAGCACTCCTCAACTGGAGTGCTTGGGTAACTTAGCATCTCCGGCGATGATTTCTTGAACTGACATTGTACGGACAACCGAGTCTTCAGTTTTCCGGACAAAGGAGCAAATTTGACAAGTTGGCTCAGTACAATCAGGGGTGTTCCGACTTGAGAAGTCTGAGGGTACATTTGCTGATCCAGCCAGGTGACGAATATT